TTACGGCTTATTTAAATATTCGGATAAACTCCGAATATCCTACTACAGAGATGTTCCCAGCAAGTATTACTTATTGATACTGGTTCTCAGAAATCCCACTTAGAATTGGGATAAGCCTCCAGGAACACAAATGAACCGACTGATTTCAGCCTAACGCATTTCTTTGTGAAAAATCCGTCATTAGGGTAAGCTTTGAGGTCATAACCATTGGAGCAGAGCCAGCGCAATGGCTAAGGAAGCCTTTTAACAACGGCACGGTGCATCGGATCAAATCCAGCTATGGCTAGACCTCATTCCCGTCCTACCGGGTGTTAGTTGGTATCATTAATAGCTAGTACTGGTGCTATCAAATGAGTTTGCAAGTTTTTTCTTCTCAAGAAATACGACCCTGCTTTTTACAGCCTCGCTCTTCACATCTTCACAACTGTCATAAGGGCAGAGTGAAGGTGTATTTAAAAACATATTTTTGAAAAAGAGCGGAGGAGAAAGTGAGCATGTGAGGCTTTTTCTCAGAGAAGATCGGAGGAAAAGCCTCTCATGCTCAAAGCCCCCTAGAATTTACGGGGGCCGTTTCGAGAAAATGGCTATGGAATAACAGAAGATTCATGTTTTGTTGTTTGACCATGCTCAAGCTCAAGAAACGGGTCTTGTTGACTTATCGTTATGGCGTTGGTTGCTGTTACCTACTAAATATCCTATTAAAATCTTTACTCTTGTAATCAGGCTTACCCTCGTAAACAGGTACGGTCCCCAACCGAAGGGCTTACAAGCTTTATCACAGATTTCCTCCACAAATTTAACCATTCTCTTCAAGACTAGGGTTTCTCATCAGACGAACCTGCCATCCTAGGCTTGAAGCTCCTGCCAGCGCCATTTTTCCGGTTTCACAGGGATGTCAGGGGAACATCCGATTCGTGGCTTTCGGATGCAGACGCAGAGTCTTACCCGCTAGGCTATCCCTCCCTTAACCTACAGTCTTCATAATAGTTATGGATTTCGGTAGTGTCAAAATCATCAAAGTGGCAGTCGCGTTCATTTCATCCTCATTAGACCACCCAGTTCTTGTGAAGATCCTAGTGGCTGCACTTTTCCCATCACGAGTGTCGGAGTCACGCGAAAAGGCTCAGAAAAACTCTCATGCCAAGGGTATCATCG